AAACCCTGTTTAAAGTTATATATTTCCAAACACTGCATTGGTGCGTCCCATAGATTTTGATATTGTTTTCACATACATACAAAATATTTTCTAATTTCTCTTAAAACTTCTTTTATGACCCATGGGTTATTTGTAAATTTTTTAATATCTAAATATTAGAGATTTCCCAGATTTCTTTGACTCATCCAAAGAGAACATACTTTGGATGACTTGAATCCATTTCCATTATTAAACCTTGTTTATGGCACAGAATCCATCTATCATGGAAATATATACACATAAATAGAACATTTATTCTGCTTTGGGTGGAGTGACCTATAAATTTCAATTAGGTAAAGGTGATTAACGGTGATTTCAAAGACCCTTACTGATTTTTTGGCTTATACTATCAGTTGTTGAGATGGCTGCTGAAATCACTGTAATGGTGGATTTGCCTATTCTTGCCATCCTAACTGGACTCTCCAACTGACTTTATCATTATAAAATGACACCTTTGGCTCTTTAGCCCTAGTATTGCTTTGAAATCTTTGTCAGGAACACATATAAATGCTCCAGTTTTCTTTTAGTGTTAAGATGGTATGTATTCATAATTTTTTATTGCCGCATAACAAATTATCCAAAAACTTAGTGGCTCAAAATGGCACACATGAATTTGGAGTGAGGAAGTAGCTGGACACAGCTTGGTTGAGTTCTCTGTTTTCTCCTAAGCTGCAAGCAAGTTGTTGGCTGTGCCCTGGCCATCTCAAAGCCCAACTGAAAAAGGCTCCATTCCAAGAGCACGCGGCTGTTGGTGTCATTCAGTTCCTGGCAGGTTGCTGAATTGACAGCCCGAGTACTTTGCTGGCTTCTGGATAAAGCTGGCCTCAGGGACTAGCTGGGTGGGCTGCTCCATGTCAGCTTCTTTCAAGGCATGCAAATAGAAAAGTCAGTAGTGTGCTAGTAAGACAGGACTCACGCAGATCTCATTGAACCTAACAGAAGTGTGTTCTGTTGGTTAGGAAAAAAGCCCCTAGATCTAACCCATACACAAGTGCACGATTACCAGAAGGCAGGAGTCACTAGAGACTTTGCCATATCTCCTCTTGTAATTTTAGGTTACTACGGGGTCTTTCTGCAATAGCCCTGCTTTTCTGCCATTTTGTCTTTATGAAATTGGGAAGTTGCTTCATTCTGGGGTTTCCACCCTACATTTTTCACCCATTTGCCTATCTGTCTACGTACCTATGTTATCATTTCAGTAAAATTTTGGGAGGGAAGAAAATAAATGTATGGAAACTGTCATCTGGAACTACAATTCATTTTTTCCTTGATTTGCACTAGATTTTTGAAAAATGTCATAATATATCCAAAGCTGTGATATGAGAAACACACGTAAAAACTTCTTACCCTACATTAGGGTGGTTATAACATTTCCCACTATACAGATAAGGAAACAGATCCAGAGAAGTAATTCTTCAGCGAAGTTGGAAATCATCTAACCTGAAGGTAGAAAGGCAACTATTTTGCATATATTTAAACCAGATGACAAGCTCCTTGATGATTCTGAAAGTTTTCAAACTCTTGGCAAGGGTTGAAGAACCACATAACAACACTGTTCTTAGGGTAAAGGCCTCAAGCCAAATCTCATCAAATGAGATGTTTGGATAAGTAAGCTAGATAGAACCTTTAAGAGATAATCTTCTGAGGACTTTTGGGAAGATGGTGGCGTGGCAAACAGCAGAGAAACAGCCTCTCCAAGATTTGGTGTCCAGACATGAAGACGAGGGAAATGGGTCATCTGACTTGAGAACTGAAGCCCATGGGGAGAACGAGACTTCAACCAAGAAAAAGAAGGTAGCAAGCAGATCTTTCTGTAAGCCCTGACTCATTGCATGAGAGGGGCTGCTTGAACCTGTAGACACACGGTGAGTACTGGTGACCCCTGAGGCCTCCACATAGAAACACACCAGTGGAATGGAAAAGTGGACACAGTAGACTGCCATGGTGAGTTATTTGGATCCAGATCTCCCCCAGGAGGGGGCAACTGGCCAGTAGCTTTCTTGGAGAGGGGCCAAGTGAACTTGGAACTCAGAGCAGTTGCAGGCTAGCTCCATCAAGGTGAGGCAGAACCAAGTTCAACTCAGGACATCAAGGAGCCAAGTTTAAGCTGGCAGGGAGCTGAGTTCAAGCCAGTAGGAGGTACATGGAGTGTTGCAGGCTGAGTTCCAGCCTCACACAGAAACCAGCCTGAGCTTCAGAACTAAAGGCACTGGCTTGCTAAAATTACCCACTACCCTACTATAAACCTATGGCTGGCTTGCTGGAATTAATCGTTATGGATCTGGGATGTGTGTGACCAATTTGTTTACCAGCAATGGCAGAGATATACCTTGAAGTGGACTTTTTTTCTTTTGTTGTTTGATTTTTTGTTTCTAAGGGTGATCATCATTTCTAGTTTTTGTTTTATTCCTTGTATTTCCTTCTCATCCCTTCCTGTCTTCACCAGTTTGGCAAAATTTGCTTTATCTTCCTTTGCCCTCCAACCTTGCTTCTAATCTATTTCTCTATTCCCCCTAACCCTTGAAAAATTTCCTGCCCTGAGGGTAAAATCACTGTATGGAAGGCACATTTACTATATATAATTTTTTGGTTTGTTTCAGATTGTTATATAACCAAAAATCTAGTTCATGTAAAGGTGGCAAGTAATAGTAATAAGAATAATTTTAAAAAATCAGACACCCCAAATTTAAAGACCCAATCAAAAAAATGGGCATCTGAAATGAATAGACACTTCTCAGATGAAGTAGAAATGGCAAATATATGAGAACATGTTCAACATCACTGGTCATTTGAGATGCAAATTAAAACAGATTCCATCTTACTACAGAAAGAACAACTATCAATAATAAATACTGGCAAGGCTGTGGGGGAAAAGGAACCTTCTCCACTGTTGGTGGGAGTGTAGACTGGTGCAACCACTGAGGAAATCAGTGTGGAGATTCCTCAAAAAACTAAAAGCAGAGGCTCCATTTGACCCAGCTATTCCTCTTATGATATCTTCCCAAAAGAAAAGCATCATACCACAGCAATATATGCACACCCATGTTTACAGTTAACACAGCTTGTTAACAGCTAAAACTTGTGAACAGCCCACCCATCAACTGAAATTTTAATACAATGGAGCACTACTTTGCCAGTATAGATAAGCCTGAGATATTTCTAGCTAAAAGGATGCACCCTTAGACCATACTCTTAAGTGAGATAAATTGGACACACATTTAAATACTGCATTGTTTCTCTGGTGTGAGAAACCAAAAGTGGAAATAAGGACCAACATGTGTAATAGATACTGGGAAAAGGAAGAAAATGTTCAAGTGAGAAAGGGAACAAGTGAAGGGACCGTGAGAAAGGAAAGGAAAAGAAAAAAGAATAGAAGGGGAAAATGGAAACAAAGCTTTTGTAAATAAGGAGGGGAAAGAGGGATCGGAGGAAAGGGGAATGGCAAAAAAAAGCAAGATATATCATGGACAGGTGCAAATTCTCTATGTTGAATGTTATCCTTTTGCCTATTTAAAATGTACCAATACAGAGTTTGCTTGAAAAAGATAACCTTCTGTCATATAATTCAGAATTTTGGTAGATGTTGGAAATTACACCTTAAATATTTAAATAAGATCAAATTATGCGAAACAAAAATTTAATCTTTCTTAAGCCAAAAACTTTCTGGAACATTGACGCATTCTGAAACATTCAAGAAGGAACATTTAAGAAATACTGTAAAGGCCCAATCCCTTATTAATAGTTATTTTAAATCTGGTAATGACAGATGGGAAACACTTTAATTCAACAATCATTTCTTGCCTTTACTGTTTTCCCTTAAAGCTACAGAGCAGAGATGAGCAGAAAAGCACACACACACACACACACACACACACACACACACACACACTGCATTCCTCGCTACTAAAATGCGGTGCAGCAAAACATCCCTCTGCTGAGGCAGGGATCCAGTTAGGACAAAGCTCAGTTTGGCTGGGAGTGCTGGTCCACATCTGCAGTCCTAGCACTCTGGAAAGCAGGCAGAGGGTCATACATCTGAGCCCTGCTTGAGCAATGTAACACAAAGAGACTCTCAAATATAAGAGCTGGGATCCTAGCCTAGTGTGGAAAAAAAACTAGCAAGTTGGGGGTTACATGCAACCTGTTTTTCTAAGAGAAAGCAGTTCATGTGCTCCCACAGACCTGCTATTGAAATGCGTTTCTTGTATTTTCCTATAGCAAGTTTCTCAAACTTGACACCCGAATCCGTTCTGTATTATCTTCTTATACATGGTGGAATCTAGAAGATCTAAAATTAAAACATTTTGGTTTCTATTTCTTGTAGTCAGAATGTACACTTTATTTTGTGAAAGCACACAAAAAGGAAGATAAATTCTGCTTGAGTTCTGAGTCAGATCATCCTTTATAGGGGGAGCTCGGTATTCTCCATATAAGTAGTTGGCAGTTATTAATATTGACTATTATTCTTTTGATAACTGGAGGCAACAATACAAAATTATATTAATATAAATGTAATGACTAAACTTGATACTTTCAACCAAGTACTTATTTTTTTTTAAAAAAGAATAATGACACTGGTCCGGGGATGTAGCTTAGTGGCGCCACACCTGCCTGGCAAGTAAGTGCAAGGTCCTGAATTCAATCCCCAGTACCTGGGAAAAAACATTAAGGACAGCACATTTTTGGTCTGCTTCCTACATCTACTCCTAAAAGGACTGTACGTCCATATTAACAGAGTATTACATTCTTTGACCTTTATTTTAGCTTTTACTCAATTGTAAGCTTATTAAGAACAAGTTTTGATCATAACTTACTTTTACTCAGTACAATGGAACTAAATCATATAGAAAAGTTTTCTCATTAATTTTACCAGATGCATCAACAATGTGATTTATGTAATAAAAACACTTTGGTGTAGATTTTTCAAAAATGATTAACCTCAGAATGAAAATGGCCATTAAAAGATTTCTAGATTTTGTTTATAAAAAAAATCAATACTCAGAATTTCACAGTGAAGAGGTCCTAAATTCTTCATACAACATGAAATTATATAAAAATAGAAGACATAGACATCTTTAAATCTTTAATCCTTTGATTAAGCAGCAAGCATATCACTCTTCCAGGCCAAACACTGCTTAAACAAAAAAAAAAATAATGACGTGCAAAGTATTTACAAAATATGCAAAGCACACAATAAAGACATCTCACTATATACATGTGTAATAGTACTAATGAAGCTAAGACTTCTACTGTGTGATCTAATGCATGTAAATGAAATTACAGCACACCCCTCAGATACAGCATCGTGGCCCATGACTGGGACAGAACGGACTTTAAGCGAATCACAATGTCCTGAAGAGCTGGACGGATGCTGGTGCTGACCAACCTGATGGGCATATCCTGAAGGTCTACTGACGAGACAAGACAAGAAAAGCTGTCCAGGTATAGAATGCACATGTACAAGACAATCTAAACATTTTAAAAATCTCTATTTTCTTTTTATAGAACTGTCCCCCATGGCTTTTAAAGTAAAAATAAGTGTAAGTTCTTTAATGTCAAGAATTTTATTTAAATTTTATGATTATAATCCAGGGGAGGAACTATTTAACATGATCCAACGAGAAAGAAAAGGACCTATCCTGTGAAATGTTTTGGCTATGCAGTGTCCTCATGAAGTGGCCTACACTTGAATATGACACCACTGAGTGAATTTAGATCTACAGCTCTTTAAGGCTACAGAGCCAATGAAAGGGCCTAGTTTCCCAATACTGTGGGAACACACGACCTCTCAAAACTGGGGCCTGTGAGGTGATGGTGACCGGTCCTAAGTGTGATGAGAATGTGCATGTGCAAACATTTAGCCTATGTCCCACTAGCACAGCAGTCAAAGCAATCTGCCCCTCACACAGTCATGATTCCAATATGAAATTATCGTATCAAAAGCATCAGTAACATGTTATTGAAATACTATCACTTGGAAATATTCCTCACAGGTGTGTTAATGATTATGTATCAAATCCAGAAGACTTGAAGTCTTTTTTTTAGTTAACAGCACAATTGTGACAAAATACTGATACACTTTTAGATAATGCAAAACAAATTCTTACATTCATTTCATGGAATAATGGTGATTTAACCCTAAACCAAACCCTTGAGTACAGCCTGGCTGCAAGGAATACACAAATGCATCCGACTAGTACAACAGAGATTTACCAAGAAAACACCTTCATTTTGAATGCAGACTACATTAATAAGCATGAAGGCAATTTTAAGTTCAGAACCTAAACACAAAAAGGGTACTGTAAATAGAGGTTTCCATAACCACCATCTCTACCTATCTGACAAAATATAATTCTCTTCTAAAGTCTCCAAATGTAGGCAACTACTAGTAAAAGCAAATAGCATTTAGAAACATAAATTTTTTTCCAAAATTAATTACATTTCCAAGAACTTAAAGACATTATATTTCAGCAAATTAAGTCCTCATTTGTATGTAAAATTACTATCCAATACTCTTATACTGATAGATGACCTTTAAATAAGGACTTTGTACTAGGACCCTAAACTGTACGTTACAGGGTTAGTAGGTTCAGTACATTCTTTGTGGTTTCATATAATTGCTTTGCAATTGATTAAAGTGCTTTCTTTTAAAGGAATATAGTAAATTTCCTTTAGAAAAAAAGCAACGTATTTTGAAAAAAGGGATATATAGCTATAATTTCTTAAATATGAATAAAATGAACACATATCAAAATCTGAAATGCAGGCTATTTATTCTTGCACTCCTAACATAGGAAAATGTTTTTTTAATTAAATAAAAGGAAAAAGGCCAAACATCCTTAACTTAAAAAACTGAAGGAGTTTTTTACAATTCCTAAGTCAATAATGTGTACTAAAAGCCTTGACCATGAAGAGGCAGGAATATAAAGAACCTCAATAAAATAAATATAGTAAAAACAAAAAACCCTCAGTATACAGAATACTTAAAATTTTTTTTTCCTTTTATGAGATCACATTGGTGAACACATACTCTAAAAAGGAAGGTAACCGAGAAGCTTTCTGCCATGTGATGTTTCAGTACAGTGAACTGAAAGGCTTAATGTGAGTCCACTGCCACAGAATCACTTCGCAGCCTCGGTGTCCAGAAGGGCCCTGTTTTCCTCTCTCGCGTCAGTCAGATGAGCACTGGCACAATGGCGGGGTGGAGTTGCTGCAGCGCCGTCCAACTTAATTTTAGTGCAGTGAGGACTGTGCATCTGTCTGAATCCCGATCAGTGACGGTGGCTGCTGACCACCCACCGTGGACAACACTGGTCTTGGGTTCAGACGGGGTGGCATCGAATTAGCAGGCCGAATGAGAGGCGGCGGAGGCTGATTTAGAGTTGGCCGGGGCTGGATGAACCGAGCCTGCTGCTGCAGAGGCGGTGGCTGCCGGTGAAGGGCAGGGGCGGCAGGCAGCGGCGGACGAAGCAGCGGCGGAGGCTGGTGCAG